TTAAAATTTTTTAAGCTATGTAATTTAATAACTAACTAATAAGTTCAAATATATATACAATCGAAAAGTGTTTTAGATTGTATATATATTTGAATTTTTTTATTTGCGAGAAACCATAAAAATCCATATTGTGCACATAAGCATTTTTCTAAAATTGCTCAGTGTTTTAATCGTAGGTACTAACTGCTGTGTAACACTGTTTCATTTGTATAAAATGGAAAGTCGTAGCAAGTATCTGCCGGCAGCTGGCAGCTGTTTGAAAGCACGTACGGCCATACCAACGGGCGAGGTCACAATATAGGTAAGAGGTCTAACCTATGAGCCTTCAGACACTGATAGTCCTGTCACTAAAAGCCCCTCGGCAACCGCTCAGGCCCAATAAATTATAGCTGAGTAGAAGCTAATTCTGTCAAACCCGTATGCTACACGGATCGCCCGAGGTCCCTCCTTTCCAATTGAAGAATTTATTCTTACTCGAACTGGTGCGCGTGAGCTCCAGTTCGGTTGTCAGATCTTGGAGGGTGCCTGCGCAGCAGATGATACCTCAACCTTATCTGCTTGCGTCGCGTAGCAACGGCTGTGAATTTTACACATTGGCTGTCTCGGTACATCGTTATCTTTACGAGTGTATGTGGTGGAGCAGCACCAAGTTAGAAAAGACAAAGTTCTGACAAGGGCCAGTAGTAGTCGAGTTATTAATTAAAAGCATTGTTACCTGCACTATCAATGCCTTCGCTAGTGATCGAGGTTGTCGCGAAATCGCCCAATTTCTGGAACGTAAACATTCAGACTTGACCAAGCGCTCATGAGCTGTGCACGAAACAAATTATGTGCGCCCTAAATGATGGTGACATCTGTATTGGTCGCTCAGCTGCGCATGAGGTTAGTATATTCGAAAGAAGAATCCCTAATTTGGGTTAAGTCGTTTAGTATGAAAGGAGATAAAAATTAATTTCATATTTCAAGATGACTATATTTTATAATAGTGCTATACTCTAGTCATTTTCTCTAGTCGAGATGCATTTGTAGTTTTTGAAATTTAAGACAGTCGATTTGTACTTTTAGCAAGCGAGTTGTACTGAACCATGAAGAAAAAATTAAAAAAAAAAAAAAAATCAAAAAAGTTTCATCTTGAAACTATAGTGGCGGGAACAGGTCGCCATATAAATCTTGTACTAGGTAAAAGTTCTACTATTAGAAACACCATAAGTCATTGCTTGAAAAGTTTTTGGAATAATGAAAAGTTGGAAAGTCAATCAAATCGCACAGGTGTTAGCATTCTGGTTTGGTGTACATAAAGACATCATAATTCACCGTGGCCAAATTTATGAAGTGAAAATATTATAGTGCCATTAAAACATTACAACACAGTGAGTGTCGTATGATTTGAACGGGAATTAAAAACGGAGACATAAAAACACTGTCACCTTTTTTCTCACATTAGCATAGCAACCTATTTTTGTACCGCATTATAACGTGTAATGGAAAAATGTATCCGCTACAAGAATCGCAGACGGTTACATCGGATGATGGATGCAAGTAGAGCGGCGAGACATCTTTCGAATGAAAATCTATAGCTACAGAAGCTTGTAGCGCCAGTTCGGTGGTCACATGCAGTTGTTATGCAAAAGAACTTATGGATCCTAGTTTGTTGATTACGGCTGAAATAACTGTCAGCAATTAAAAGGCATAATGAAAAAGATCCATAATAAGCTGATCAACCAAGACAAGAGAAGGCTCGACTTTACACAGAAAAAATCACCGTAGAAGAAATGTAGTAGTTGCAATTAAACACTGTTTGCTGTTCCAGATATTAATCCCATAGTCATTTTTTAAAATGTCGGCAGTTTCTCCAGAGAAAAATTAAGACTTCAACACGTCGAAATCCGTGTTGTACGCTAGACTTGTACAGTTGCAGCACAAATAGGTTACCATTCAAATGGTAAAAGGTCATAGATAATATTGTTGTATACTTCAATCGAAACTAAGATTGAAGCGTGTGAGAAAGTTCGAAAATTTAGAGGTCAGTGCATCGCGTACTGACGATAATAACAAACGATCAGCGGTTAATAATATGTTATTATTAAAGCAAGTATGAGAAGTCGGTTTTTATTAATAAATGGTGTTTCGTAATAAATACTTTTGCTGCTGTACACCTTTAGTACTCTGTGTTTAATGATGCGCCTGGAAACCCCTAACATAGAGGACTAACTCTAAGTAGATTTTCAAGCTTGTAGAAAGCACCTCATCGTGCCAGGGCATCAAGTCCTAAACTGAGAGTGCCTCTAACAATGCATGCTCAACAACCAAAGTTGCGTTTAACCCAAATGTGAATGTATTGTCATCAGGTTGATACTTGCGACAATGAAGCAGTACGGCAGTTACCTCTCAAGTTAAGTTATACCGTTAATCAGGATCGTTTTTCATACGCTGTAAAGTGGCAGGTAGATTATCTTGAGCAAGAATGATGAAAAGAGTTCATTGTCACTTACTAATAGAAACGGTCACACAGAAAATAGCCTCACGCCAGGGTGTATGTGTCTTTTCGAATACAGTGCTTTTTTAGGTAGGCAGTTTCACAAAACTGCCTTACTCACAAGTAAGAGCGTTGGTTCAGGAAAACTGCTCCGTATACGATGTTAATGACATGTGCGTATGCTCGTCTTCAAAAAAGTTTCTGCTGGGTATATCTCCACTCACTTAGCGTGATATCCAAACATCGTTAGTATCACCAAATCGCTGAAATTACTCCCTTTTTGTATGTTATAAATGAAATTAACAGAATTCCTTGTGTAAGTATCGCTGACAAATCTTAAATGATATATCTGCATCGGGCGTCCCGTGGAAAATCCATCTGCAGCAATAGCCGAGAGGGCTGGCGTGTAGCGGTATATAGTCCTGGTAAGATAGATGTGTGTTACGTGCGCCGAACAGCGAGCTCTAATGGAGGACGGGGCAATCATGTATCTTATATGAATGGCCAACGTTTGGTGAATGAACGAACGGTGTCTGTTTTTTGAAACTGACAATCATATCTTTATGTCGCCTTTAAAATGATCTTTTTCGCATGATACACCGCTACGCTACGATAGCGGAGGTTTTGCAAATACGAAAATATGCCATGACCGACCAATCACCGCTATAAGAATCGCTACTGCCCACAAACGCCTCAGCGAATAAGTTTGTTTCACAGCAGCCGTCAAGTCGCGGTGTGCATATCGAAAATTCTCATGTGGGCGACGATGTCCGCCCCCCAGCACAGTTCACTTAAACGATAGGTGGTAGAGGCGGACGCCTTTGGATACGGTATGTCGTTAGCCGTTATAAAAGATCTTCCTCAGCGTTGTGATTACTAAAGGGTCGGATGAACTACTGTAGAACGCTATGGTCGTTAGCTCAGTTTACACGTGAACGATTTTCGGAGTACTTCCGAGGACCCTATCGCTTTACTTACCCGCGAGGGCAGGAGACCAGGAAGAGGGAGGAGCAGAGGCGGTTGCAGGGAACAGAAAATTGAGGTTTTGCTCGTTCGATGCTCGGCAAACGAACGCCGCTATCGTCAACTTTACAGACGAAATGTGGCTTGGTGCCATCGAAATGCCAGAGGTTGATCGGCAAAAAGTTACAATCGGCTCAAAATTGCAGCTGGTGAAAGAAAAGCATCTTTTTATTTATAGAGGCACTACCTACTCAAGTGGCTACAATTGGATTAATGTAGATTTTTTAAACGAATTTCTTGTTTGCTTTATAAAAATATTATAGAAAATTTCTTTTAAGCGTTCTGACATATATGATTGAATTCATTTAGTATTGTACAACAAACATATAATATAGGAAGATAAAAGTAATAAAGACATGCGTACTGTAGAAAAGTATCTAACGCAGGCCCCAGGAGTATGTGGCTCTTTGGTAATGCTCATTTAAGACCGACGGTACAAATAATACAAAATATCAAATGCAAGATATTTCGTTGAGGCTTTTAAAGTTGCTTACGGAGACGTTGTAAAACGAAGTATTGCTTTGGCTATGAATAGTTGTTGCTAGCAGCGACGTTGGGCTTCGGTGCCGTACTTGACATCAGCCCAGTTGAATAAGTTCAAATTGAAATTTATCGACTATGGCACTATGGTTAACTATTAGAGTGGCTCAGGTGGTGTCAGCTGCCATCGTATATTTTAGTTTTATAGACACTACGAAGAGAACGTAAAATGCAGTCACAATCGAGACGAAGCGTTGCAAAAACTAGCAATTATGATAATCTTTTTCATAAATAGTTAAAAGACCGAAAGGCTATCAACTGCATTTATGATTTGAATGATACACATCGAGCGTTTCTATACTAAGCAGAGGTCAGAATGTATATGCACGCAGTATATTCGAAAGCACTCTGCTTGGGCGAATGTAGAAGGTGCCCTGGTAAGCAAGAAGGGATTCATCGATATTGGAATAGAAGTACGAATCGATGTTACATAAGCGGCAAATTCAGGTGAAATCTCACAAAAGCACTATTTCCTTCCGATGCGCAGATGTCGGCTCCGGAATACAGGTCAACATCGATAGTGCTTTCCTAATGCTTGCACGGGTATAATCTCTACTGGTCGCATATCCGTCGTTCTTTTCAGCATCTTGCTTTTTTGGAGCTGTGTTATACGTAATGATGGCTCTCAATGAATATGTCAGATTTTATGTTGCTCGAAGTAATGACTCCATAATGTTAGCCACGATTGCAATTACATTTGCATAGACCAGCTTAATGGGTTTGTGTTGTCTAACGTTAAGGTCAACGTAAGCCCGATACCGAGTTTCACTTAATCAAGAATTTACCGCATGGTAGTGTTCTGGTAGTTCAGCTCTTTTAAATTAAAATAAGAAGCCAGGTTTCAGAAACGCTATCGTTACCATGTAAAAATTCTAGAATTTGTCGGTTTATTTTACAACAATAAGCATATCGTATTTGCTGAGACGGGCCGTTCACCTGTTCTTGTGTTCTGGTATTTCAGACGAGCGACTCTAGCCAGTTAAAATTGGTTCAGAAGGGGGTTCCAGAAGACGAAGTCGAACGTACCCAGGCGGGCTGGCAGAGGTAAGTTTGATGTGGTGCAAGGAAAGCGAGCAGTCCGCAAACTTACATTGCGTAAGTTGCCTTTAATATCATAGAGCAGACACCGGCGGAACGGTTCGGTTAAGAGGGCATAGCGGGAACCAGTCAAATTCAGAGCAGTTTGTAGGCAATCTGATGCTCAGAAACATGACATATATAGCTTATTACTAAACAAATGTTTCATGAATAGTACTCCCTGCGTCGGATTCGATCATCTAAAGTATTCAGGCATAATATGCTTTTGGCCTTTCTACAACGATGAGTAACGGACAAAACAGGTTCTATTGTGTTCATTTAAATACACTTGCCGCATAAGAAAATGTCTCAATGTATTACAGCTTTTCAATTTGAAGAGATAAAATCGATAATAATATGCAAGCAAGAAAGTTGCATTCCTGCCTTTCGGTAGCGGTTCGCTCAAGAAGTTTAGATCGCATTAATTGTCGTTTTAACTCACCGGCTGACACCATAAATTAAGGACAGTTTAATCCAATGTAGGGCCTATGAGTAAATATTACGTGTTCAACTTTAGTTGATGCAGCTTTTTCGGGGCTAAACCTAAAGTCGATAGTGGTGTCCAGTTATGCGAGTTTTTGTGAACTATTAGTGGCGCTCCAAATATAAATGTGTTAAAGTAACAAGTGTTTATACAAAATACTGTTTTATTACTTTCCAAGTTTCTAATAATATACTCAACTATGTCAGTTTACGACATAGTTTAAACAATCAGACCATGGCAAAAATTAAACCACGCTTCGAGTTGCCATGGTCATGGTCATGCGCGTTCCACTGTGTACTTATTTTAGAAATATAAACAAATTGCTTTAGATGCGGCGTAACCTAACGGAAATTAAGATGTTTCTGTCATTATTTTTACAGGTACTATTTTGACGCAATCAAACGAACGTTCAGCTTCGGTGCGACTCTTAGCTCCGGCGGCTTCTAATTTATTGCAAAGAAAAAGCAAACTGAATATTATTGTTGCGTTCGGATAATAACAATAATAAAAACTATACTAATAATAATAAAAATAATAAATGAACAAACAGAAAAGTGCTTGAAAATGGAGACGATACTGCAAAAAGATGGAGTGGCGTTGTCTCTCGTGTGATAATAGTACCAATACGATAATAACGAAGGGATGTATACTACTATCCACACAATGGATGATACGAGATGCTATGACTAGAAACGGGTAAACACTTGGCGACTGATATCCCCGGTTACCCGGTTACCGAATCAATGACATTAGCAGCGGTAGTTGCTAAATCACTGCCGCTATTGCTACCCAGTATAACGTTATCAACCAACAGAAAAATACCGCAACAATAGAAAAATGTCCAATTCAGATGGTATAGTCGATTGTAAAAAAGAAACAGAAACGAAAAAAATAAGAAGGATATAAGACGCAGATGCGTCAGACGGTGCCGCGACAAACCCGAACTCATTCAGCCATACGTCAGATTGATCAGCAGCTCATCATCAGAAATGTTCAGTTTCGAAGCTGGAAACAGAGACTGTTGCCGATACCGAGGTGGTAGATTTCCTCCAGTGTTACTTCCTGTTGCTGACGCTTGACAAATGAAATGAGAAACAACTTTGGTGGAAACGAAAGTAGAAGCCCTATAAATATACTCACAGCTGATGACATCTTGACAGACGAGAGGACAAAAACTATATGATAGTTGAAAAAAATCACAAGATGATAGAGAGAGAGTTGCGATCCGTAAGAGACCGGCACACATTTCAACTGCTTATGAACGCTTTTTCTACTTCACTTTTTGGCTTCTCTCGAACTCGGGAAGCAGGCGGGCAAGAGCATCTATAAAACAGCCGAGCTTATTGGTTTTTACTCTCGATTGCGGTCGAAAGTATAATGTCTTCTAGACATTACCAATATTGTGCACTTACGTTGGGAGAAAGAAATAAAAAAAAAAATAGAAAGAAAAGTTACCAACAATGCCAGACGAATGTTCAATTGAAGTATGATGAAAGTACACGGTGCTGACCGAAATCAAATAGAAATACGCGAATCATAACCCTAAAAAAAGACCATATATGGGACCCTCCAACACTAGCATACCTGAGCGAAAAAAAGGACATAAGGACCATTTATAACATTAGTCCAAAACTCTACTTTCCCAGTAAATGGAGAATTGTGTTCCTGCTAAAATTCTAAAAAAGGCTAGCTTTAAAACCGAACTGCTCAAATAGAATTCCTCCGATTCGATTTAGAAGCAGAGCTTTACAATTCGTGCCCATAGGAGAGATTAGTTTGTACAGGCTTCATTTCGGGATACTATACCTCAAATAAAGCTCTGCTCGCTGTGATAAAGTTCATGTGCCAATTTCTTTCTCCAGGCTAGTTCAGCTGCCTAGCCAACTGCTTGCAGTTAATGAATTTTAGCTCTCATTCTCATAAGTTGAGGGCATGTTATAGAACGATCCGAGAAGAAACAAGTATGGATATTGTGCTTTCTATGTAGCTGGCCACTGCTTCAATAGAAAGCGATGGAGTGCATACAGAATTATATTGCGTTCCTCAATTGCAACTTATGCTGGTGGGGTGCATGGGCTGGTGATTCAGAAAAGAGCTTAGGTTGGGGGGTCATTATTGAGGTGAATCGGTATACTTTGAAAAACACTTATTTTGTCGAGAAAGAAGTGATTGGTATCCGACTCTGATAGACGGCTAGTATCTGCCAAGTTTAGCACATAATGGTACAAGTTTGTAAAAGTATGTATGAGGAAGTTTTGAACGTGTCACACTCGGTTTTTTGTCACTAATTCGAACCAACCTGCCCTAGTTTCCTTACTTGCCTGATTTTCCATTATGTTGGCTGGCTCATTTTAACGAGACTTTAAAAGGTACAGTGTTAAATTTTCATTACATTATATATATATAGGAATTGTTGATTCGGCCCGATACGGTAATACAATGTGAATTAATGGTTTGGCGTCACTGTTGGCTCCCAGAATCAGGTATCGATGAATGTGTATTAACATGAGTGTTTAGAATTTTGGCCCGCAAAAGTTGATATTCTACCTACTTCCTGTTCGTTTTTCCGCGTTCGTTCTTCGTAAACCGTTGCTCGAAACAATTCCAACGGGATACGTGTCTACACTGGTCTGCAGAATAATAAACAGCAACGGAAGGCTTGACAAATGGGTATCCATTTATAACAGTGCCCTGGTGACTGAGAACAGTGCTGACAATAACAGCCACAACAACACGACACTACGATAAACTAATAAGTAAAAAAAACATGTACATTTAAAGTCAAGTTCGTCTTCATTTCTGATTCACAGCTAGAAAATTTTGTTACATTCAAAGATAGCCCAGTTTTGTGAACTTGCAGGTGTTCTGTGAAGAGAAGCAAAGCACACCTTCTGCTCTCAGTAGTCCTGAACATCATAAGCACAACGGTAATCCTAACTTACAACAAACGCGATTAAATCGGGCCCATATTTATACTAAACTAGGATGTTCATTTTCGCATTAGCAGCTTACTTAGTAGAAACATATTAAATTCTGACTGGAGGTGCGCTTCTTTCCCAGTTCGCCTATTACATATTAGTTTAGTTTTCTTTATTTAGCGATTTTGAGGAAACTTTTTAAAAAGCATTTTCTTTGGTCCCGATCAAGGTGCGCTCTCTTAAACGTTTGGCGTGTATTATCCTTTCTCTCTTTAAAGTGGTGTAATGCTTCCTAAGCGATTTCCGCTTTTTTTTTCAAGAGGTGGATTCGATGTTACGACGCATACGGCTGGGGCCGAATTATACATGGATATCCAATGTAATGTCGGACTCAAACACGAGGGGTGTAACCTGATTTTGCCGAAATCTATACCGACTAATGTACGTTTCCCCTTGATTTTCACTTTCTGTCGGCTCAGAACTTAATTGAGGAATACTATAGTAAAAGATATAAAAAGCGCCTACAGATCAACCGTCCGTGACCATTTTCGGTTTTCCCTCCTCATTAGGCACAATGTGTCCCTATACCTGAAAACTCGGAATTTGCGTCGTTTACATTGTGTGCAGTTTCGAGAATGAATCTCGCTGTCTGCTGCCACCCGAGGTATTTTTTTCTTCAGGCTCTGCTTGGCTTTAGTCGCTTTGAGTTCGTCACCTTCGATGCTGTGCTTCACAAGTTGAGGAAGTTCACAAGTTTCACCGGTCCCAAAATTTAGGCAATTCCAAGAGGGGGATCTTATTCTGGTCCAGATAATTTCCTGTTCCACAAACAATTTGTAGTGATCGTATCTAAAAGTTTCTCAAGTTTAGCTAGCAAAAAGTGCGATATTTCTGCAAAATGTAAATAGGTAACAAGTTACTAGCCAGACAAATTAAGGTTGCTGCTTTGCTTAGATGCATAATTAGGTTACGTAATTTGCTTAATCGACTAAGTTATTTATTGCATACACAATTGCTTTCAAGGACAGGCGATGACGAGTGATAACGTAGTCGGCATCCCACCTGTATGGCACTGCGCCAGAGCGAGCATCCACAATAATAAAAACAGTATCTATACATTAACCCTTGCGAGAAAATCTCTGGTTATCGTACGTGCCCATTACGTACGCAGATTAATTTGCAGCAATCGGTATATCGTATCTAATTCGACTGCACACGCGGCGGTTGCCAGATCGTTAGGTTACTTCGCGTTCGGCATAAATAAAAACTGCCAGCTACGAGATACGTTTGTGTGGCGCTTCTTTGGCTGTTTAATTTCTCTGGTCTATTGTCTACACAAATCAGCATCGGTTAGCTAATCCAGTTATGTCTTCTCCTTATGGAACGCTATTTTAGCAGTAGAATGCAACACCAGTCGTCTAGGCTGACTCAACGCTTATTCGGGGAGAACAAACCTTCCTTTCGGCTCTTTCGAATAGTACGGCTTATGCAGAAGACTGGATAACTAGACTCACAAACTAAACTCATACACATGTAAACTCTTATCATGTCACCTGCTCTATTAGACTGTGTAAAAAAATACCACTTAACAGTACAATTTTTAGCAGTAAAACTGTTGGTACTACCGGTACGAAACACTTCGTGAGTACTAATAACACTACGTAACACTGACACGTGCACAAAGTTCCAAAATAGCTTGACTATTTCTCTCGCGCGGAAATTTTGAAACTTTCTGAGAGTCTAACGACAACACGGTTTCTGCCATAATGAACAATACTCAGTATTATATCAGTAGATCCGATATGGAGTGAATGCCATCGACCAAACGACCGCGTGCAACAAAAAAATGAAACACTAGACTAGGGGCTATACTCAGAACTGTACTCACTGACTTGCCAGTGCATACCACCGACCATCGGCCGCGGCTCATAGGTTTAGAGCTTCTAGATGAGGTATCGGTGAATATTCGCCAGTAACTATTCACTAGAACTGAGACCGCTAAAACTAGGAATCTAGTTTTAAAAACACACGAAGCAGATCTTGTCGTTGTCTTCATTTTCGTCATTGTCGCTATCCACCGCCTGTCGTCGTTGCGCTGACTTTCCGAGCATTGGGCACGAACGCTTACCAGAAACCATGCTAAGTCGCACACATATACGCTGACATTTTTGAAAACATATAGGATGTCCTTTTACAAGTTACACTGGCAGTACGCAGAAAACGCTAGAACAAAGTCTAGCCAAGACAGTCAACAACTGAGATCACCTGGGAGAACTCGAACGGCTGACAGTCGCGTGCTGTTTACGTGTTTGTGACGGCTTGTCAACTGAAGTGGAGTAAAAAATAGAAGCAGCTGGAAGTGTGGATTTACCAATGTATGCTAGTCTGGCTTGGGGCGCCCTAAAAAAGGATCGAAGGAAGGAGTTTCCCGGAACAAATAGGGGATCTGCGAAAAAAACTGTTTCTTTTGTCAGACAAAACTTTCAGAGTTGCAGACGAGGATTATCTATACGCAGTGTTATGTGTGCTTTATATTTTGAGGCCGGCTTTTGTGATTAGCTTGTGGTAGCTGACAGCAGGCACAAGCCAGATGGTAGCACATCGGGCACGATCAATCGATGATCGTTTGCCGAGTAGTTATCACACATGACAGTAACATAACGTCGAAAAGAAACTTGTGGATATCATGGATTTTGTAAGTGAAATGTGCATTATCAAGCTCATCCTTCGAAGATAGATTTAGATATATAGCATTGTATGTATAAATAGCTTGATGGGCACTCATTTAAAGACGCATGTTAATTGTAAAGAGAAAAATGAATATAAATATAGATTTACGTTCCGTTTATTGTTGCCGTTGTGATAAAGTGGGCGTCACTCAATAACGTCTGCTAAGAGCTCTGTGTCATTTTAGCTGATGACTGAATAATTGACGGATCTTTTGGGATGGAATGAATTAAAATCAGTAAATTATTTACTGATAATATTGTATGTAAATACATACCGAATGGACGGCATTTGTTTGGAGTACGTGGAACTTTTCAGTATTTTAAATTAATTAGTTTCAAATCTCGCCTATACGCTTTTTTGTTAACCGTCAGGGTATTTCTGAAATAACCAATAGCTCTCGGTTAAATCTAACACGATATATCAGACAGAAAATTGATTATGCTATTTACAACTCTTTACAAGAATACAGCTGTCGGGACGTAATTCAAATCAGCTGCGATGTGCATGACAAGCCTGATTCCTGTCGTAGCGATTAATCATTAAATAGTATAAATTAAAGTAATTAATTTATCAAAAACAGATTGCGTAAGGTGTTACACTTGTGAGACTATTCAAATTGCACTATGAAAAATCTCTTGCTCGAATGAATTTTCGTCGTGCGTTCGTAATATTATTAGTATTAAGCTAGCACCATCTAGATGAATGCATCAGTCAGCGCAATTAATTAAGCACCGAGTTTATTTCTCTGCACTCGCCCGTAACAATTTTAATTCCAAGCTTTGTCAGGCCATCTATTAGGACGGCTGATCAGGTGCCCTCGCGTCATCCCGGAGGAAAACTGCATCATGAAGCCCTTCGCCGTATACTGATGACTGGCACCTGACATGTGCTTTGGCCTCGTATTTGTTACCGTCAGCCATATTGGTTCCGACGCGATAGTTCTGTTGCATGTAGCTCGAGGACCTGTGGTGAAGCCCCCGGGAGTAAGAGCAGTTACATCTAATGACGATAGGGCAGAGATCGTACCATATATTTCATCTTATCTGCCGCAGATTTCTATTTTCTGCAGATCACGTCAGACCTTATTTGTTTTTGAGTAAGACATAGTAGTGAATATATCATTTATCATCATATTCTAATACATACAGGTTAGGTAAGATTTGTCTGAAATTGCGCCTTGCTGTACTTTTCCATAATGATATCCTGAAACTATCCTGATGATTCCTGAAACTGTTGGCCTAAAGCCAACCTCTGACCAGCGATTAAAACTTTATTCAATTAAGCCTAGTCTTCTTCATTTATTTGCGTCGTTGAACCTGCAAAGTAGAACATGAGTGGCTTGCGGGAATACTTATTACTTATCTGGAACTGAATATAAAGTTCGAAACCAAAAGCGAAGATAGTAAACTGTGCCAAAGAACGATACGAATATGTCAATCTACGTTGCGAACCAAAACAAACAGACTGTATGACAATGGCATGAAGTTGTTACAACGACAGTAAACCAATAGAGGATAAAGATTTCGAGATAGAGCGACTCAACATAATCTGAGTGAATAGAATTAACAAAGGACCCCCGTGTAATTTACCCAATATACCAAAAAGTTGAAATCTAGCTATTTCTTCTTATTCTACAAAAATTATCACGGCAGGCATTAGCTATGCGAAACGATGGCAAAAGCTGCATATGGTTTAGTTACATCTACACTTGCCGCACAAATGAAATATGCCGTTTTCTAACTGGGCGTAATAGGTCTACCGAGTGTTTGTTATAACGCTGTAAGGTTCTTTTCAGTAAGGCCAGAAATAGTTGGAATAACATGCTTTCAAGACGGCAGTTCACTTGTTCCCAGTTTGTATCAAGCTTCCAATGAAAAGGCCTAACAAGATTGTGTGTTATATATTAGCTAACAATGACATCTGGATCGATTTTCTTCTGTTTGTTACCGAAAATTGTTTGCGTTCAGATAGGAGCAGCAAATTAGCCAGCTCCCTGTGCCTCTCATATTTCCGTATATCGTTAGGTGCAGGTAACAGCAGATCTGAGTACTGCCTTCCCGATCTTATCAATATATACAACGTCACATATGCAACGTATATATATATATATATCTATCCATATAATGTGGATGGCAACATATATGGTGTTTTCACATGTTGTATTATCTGCATGACCATCTCGAAACCTGAATTCCCAAGGCCATTTGAAATGATAATATTGATAGCAAATATTATATTACCTTTCCGTGTAATTTGCCATAGTTCATGCACTTGTATATATATATATATATATATATATATATATATATATATATATATATATATAGACCGTATTCAACCCGAAGCTGCGCAATGTACTGGAAAATTCTCTGGAAGAATTTTGATGACGTATTGGCCACGGCTGGCGCGCCGTTCTTTTCTGCTGATACGAATTTTTGAAACAAATTTAGGTTATTTTAGCCGCTGGTTAGATCCGACATTTTCACTGGCTAACTAATGTTTGGAACTTACCTTTAGGCTAACTTTGCAACGCATAGTACTACCCTGTATTTACCTTTTTATCGGCTCCGGCTAACCCACACCTTTCGTCGAGCTCAGTTTTCGTACATTTCGACGTCGGTCTTGTCATTCAGTGCACGTCAGACATTCCCAAAAACAAACATTCTTTTCCTTGACGTTGTCGATTTTATCGAAATACTTGTTCAGTCTTGGCTGCTTGTCCTTGAAAATCGAAGAGCCTGGTTCATATTTAGGCTCAGTGCCTTGGCACGATTTTTCTGCTTATTTTTAATAGAGAAAGCCACACGAGGAGTAAAGATGCGTTGTTAGTTCAAAAACCATTTAATATCAGGTCGAGTTCTCCGTCCGTTTGGGCTACTCCTAAACAACGGAACGCATAGAAGCATTCGGGATTCTCAATCTCTCAGCAGTGATCCCCTCACGTACTGGCGCCATTTATCACTTCAACTCTCATAACTACATCTTGTTTTGTTTCTTTCTATAGCATATTCGATTGGATTAATCATAATTATATATACATGTATTCGACTTGTATTTGTAACTTAAGGAGACCCAGAAAGAGTAAGAGAATCCAGAAACTGACTCAGAGACCACCCGCTGCCCCTGGTAGAAGAACTTGCTGGTTTTTCTGGACCCGAATAAATCGTAAATGGTCTTAATTAATTTTAATAAATCTATCGTAACGAACTTAGCGTGGTGGTTCATCCACGAATTTTTTTATGCGAATCTAGAATCAGCCAGTCGATCCAACCGGTTAGCCTGACGCGTGAGTTCCAATTCCGTGAGAATTGTACCTATAGGACTAACATGAACAGGATCACCTGCTATAGTTAGAAAAAGCTTCAAATGAATCCCTTGTAGGCCTACAAGTACTTACACAAGACTGGAAAGCGAACTGATAACCGACATAACAAGATAAACGTAAAGTGAACTTATGCTGGAGAGTTGTAACTACTCTATGGCGAGTGACAGTGGTTGCCAACTTTCGTGATTTCCAACATTGGACGGACTGAAACCAATGCTTGTTTGATCGCTAATTACCGACTTTCTTAATGGCGTTGCTAATCGCCAAAAGGAGGCAGTGCATCTCTGTACGCCACCTTATTCCTCCTCCTTAATTATGAAGACTTTATACTGGGCATTCGTGTACATCAAGTATATATACGTATATATGGGAACGTCCGGCTATTACGTTTTGCAGATATGAGGACTTTATAATCAATCCGAGTTTTGGGAAATGGTATTCGAACTAAATTTGCTGCTACTTCGATTCGTTATTTATCTAGTTACAAGGAATAAGCCAAATGTGGACATTTTACACTGGATCGAAACTTTACTTGGGTCTCTACGAATGCAGAATATTCGACGTTCATTTTTTTTATTGGTTGTGCTATAAAGTTAACAAATATAATCGCCCACGACGACTATTAAGTGTGGTAGCGCCACTGGACGTCATACCCTATTATTATTAGGTAGTACAGGAAGCAATCTAATTTTCGACATACGCAAAGGTTTACGTTCTAAATATAGAAAATGCTTTATGTGATGTGGTGCAAATTACTTTCAGCATGGTCTACGTTTTCTACGAATAGTTCGAGAGAGTACATCAACTAAATGTTTACAAATAGAGACGATAAATGCAGGAAGGGAGCAAGCTATCAAGGCAAGCACGCTTTGTTATAATTAAATAATTTGGGCGCATCGAAAATTTAGATAATCCACATTGTGGCGCCTTGTGTGGCTTTGAACGTCTGGAGGTATGACGCGTACATAACGTCCAGCTAAATGACATCACGGGCTCAGTTCGAAAATACCTTCAACTTCTACAAATACCTGCGTATGTACAAGCATGCCTAACATTAGTGGAACTCTACGAACGACGTAAGATTTGCTGGTATTAGAAAAAAAAAATTGTGGAGTTGGTTTTGGTTGAAAAAATAAACTATCATATAAAAGTTCATTAGACGATAGCATAAAACAAAGTTGCAAAGCAACGCTGCTGTTTCGTTGTATTTTAAAGGACCTTACTGAAATAGATGTTATGAATTTGCACTAGCTTATAGCGGAAAATACCGCCAGCCTCGATACAATGAAGGATCCTTGATCTGTCTAGCTGAAAGTTTTATTTCACTTGCGCGCAGGCGCAGTGATACCTATATCTTAACGAATCTACCCGTCTGAAACATCGCGACTGGTAGCGATCTAGGACTTGGCCGACAGTCTATGGCATCGAGACCGGTTTCCTTCAGACGCCGTCCTTCTACAGAATTGAGAACGATGTGACCGCATTCCCCTTTCAAAGGCGTTTGTTGAATGGATCTCGAAGGACATTAACCACAGTTGAAAAACCTAAATTGTTCTACCTAATATCGAAATCGAGACGCACAGTTCTTATTTTTATATTTTCATTTTTTTATTCATACGCATTTCTTTTGCATATATTCATAGTTACCATAATCTATAGCTTTTATCTGTTGGTTCCTTCGCCCTCCGTCATTCTCTGCTGCCCTGTTTTTTCTATTTATTTGGAGGAGTTTGCCCTGGTTCATCCTGTCTTGCATCTTTCATGTGGTGTTGTTCCACTACTGGTTCATATTGGTGGTATTATGTTGTGTTCAGGTTTTTTATTTCTTCTCTTACGCAACGTCTTCGGAGGGAGTTCACAAGGTTTCGCGTGGGGTCCAAACCATAGACAGAGAAGGAGGATCAGGCGGGACAATATACTCTTACAACATGTCGTTATACGGCGAACGTCTGGTGAAGTCTGTCGGTCGTTCTGGTTACGTCGTTAAACAAGCCGCCATTTAATTAATTTATCTACCCATTCCTGCGATGAAAACGGCATCACTCGTATCTGCATCGATCGTCACGCAACCCCTATTGCCGTTGGATTTCAGCTCCCCCTTCTCAAGCATATGTACATAGACTCCCTCACGGCAGAAAACAAATATTGCGAACTCGGTCTGTTTACACAAACTATAGCAACAATTATTTATTCCCTACATCTCCCATGTCGCCTGAAGTAACTGCTTTGCAAAGTTCTTCACCGAACCTTTGCTTGTGTTTATTTGTCTACGTCTTGTCGACAACGTCACTACATGCGTGTAGAAATATTTTGATATACGTATACCCTCGTACGCGGAAAATGAATGCTATGATTACAGTACAGTAGTAAACAGTTTAAAAACCAAAGCCCCTGAAACGGTTCCTAGGTACTTTCGTTACACCATCACGATGTCGAAAAAGCTGAGGAGATGTTAATCATTTGATTACGTGTATGTTTGTAGCCAGATAGAATCGTAGTCGATTATGTCTAACGGCTATCAAAACAATGATATTTTGACGAAAGTTTCGACGTGCTTGAGGAATACACATATGGACTGTAAACTGCGGGGCCGCTTAGTACCACAGACAGAACACCGATGGTACCCGGCCTATATAGAAAGAAACAGGGTAGGATGTTCGATGCGACCAGTTCGATTTCAGAGTCTAAAATTGCAAGGTCAATGACAAAGCATAAGTAAGCGAAAGCTAATTAATTAGGTTGAGTATGTTTTCAAAATAAGCGACTCGGACTAAAGTTTAGCAACTTCACAACAAACACTACTTCAATATGTGTTGACCAATGCATAATTGCAATATATGCAGACTTTGCGGTATGTTGTTGAATGTCTTGATGTTAAAACCATATAACATTCTGGTTTCTTTCAAATTTCTGCTTGTTTTTCTTCTTCCAACGGTACTCTATTAAGGGGCAATTCTAGGCTTACGTTGTATGGTTAGTGTTTAATACATTTCAGGCTTATATATTGTAATTATTCAAGGTATTACAAAGAGAATATGTTTTGTGATTCAGTTCAATTTATAGAGAGTCCTGAAGCGCTTAAAGGAGCGGCACACATGTACAAATATACTTTTAACGGGAAGACATTTAAATGTCGTTGGCGTTGTATGTAGTCGAAGTCGGGAGGAGTGAGTCACTCGCTTCGTCGAAGCTTTGGCTATTAGTGACTTGCGCCTAGTCTCAGGGCTCTATCGCGTTCGGACGAACTTTCCCAGATGGTTCGATGAGAGCTTTGCTTCAAGCCCGCCGGTCGTCCGTGTCCGACGTCAACGATCGAGTCGTCGTCGCCGGAGGCGAAACAACATTTTACTCGACTCCTCCCTGTCGCTGCTTCTGCAGCCCAAAAGCCCCTTTCGCTCCCCAGTATAGTCCCTTCGTTCGCCATACACCGTCACCAAATTGATTTGATCGTTTTGACTGGACGATCCGGTTGGAGTCTGACATTCGACGGATCTATCCTCCAAACTAGCTGTGCCAGCCAGTCAGCTAACCTTGACAATTGCTTGTCATGATACTGGCCATGGTCTTGCTTGATGCAACTGGCCGATGCTCTTAATGACCTTGACGGTGTTGTACCCATACCGATCTCTGCTCCTCCGATGAGGGAGTTCCCCTCTGAGCCCTTAGAGACGTCGTTCATATATATATACTATGTTTCTACGTGAGAGAGCGCTCGTGTGTGAAGTGTAACGCGATTCTTCAGGTTTACACGTGTCTGTATGTCTAAGTACGCACTGAGACACTTCCATTATCTTTCTCATCCCGTAGTAGGCATCAAAAAGCAGCGGGTGTCTTGCCATTTTCCATACTTCTCCTGAGATTGAGTCACGATATACTTGTGGTCTCATATTTCTGTAGCGACTTTCTGGTCAGATGTTAACACCCCCGTAGAACAGCAGAGTGTTATCATGTTTGCATCAGTTGTGAAAGGGCGAAAAAAACGGCGGTTTGTTTTCAATAACCTTGCTTACCTCTACAAAAAACTTCCTGCAATCCCCTTTCCATTGGAGTTGTTTAATTGGTATTGTGTTGCACCTTCTGGCTCTGTACGGTCGACGTAAAGGCGGGCTTGGGTTAAGCAAACACTATGATCCTTACGAGCAACAGTCGGTCGGTTCGGAGCTGACAAAAAGCAACAAATTTTTGCTTCGATTGACATTTGACAATGAAAGCAGAAAAAATACAGGTCAGAGTGTGAGTTCAATTTTCAGGTAATCTCAGTTTTAAAGAATTAAGCAAAAATCCATGATTAGTCAGCCAATAAACAGACATATGAACATGAGAGGTTTAAACAAACTATAATATAGCCTTTTTGCTTACGGTCAGATGTACAATTAGCTATTGGCAAAACCATAAATAGGCCATTCGGGTAGAAGCCAACATTTTTCATGTCTGCTTTACTTCACGGCTTCCTTCTGATTGCAACTTCTAGAGTAGAAACGGGCCGTCCTAGTTATATTTTCACATACGACCTAATTAAATGGGCCGCGACCTAACTATAGGTTAAGCGAGTCAGACGGTATTCAAATATGCTTCGATAGTTTTCTTTTTTTCTCTCCCTTAAGCTTCTGCTAAGCTGATCTACCGTTTTCCTATCGTAAAAGACGTTGGTAGTTGGTTGAGTCGGTGGAACCGTTCTGCTCTGCCTCGTTACTTGTTCAGCGTACGCACGACCTAAAAGGCCTACAGCCTACCCTCTACACGCTGCTTAGCTCTGTGGGCTTGGCCCGCAATTGTAACAATCTGTCTGTAGGTAATTAATGCCTGCTTGCTCGCAGGAGTGTTGTTGATTAGTTATTAGCTTGCAAAAGTCAGCTCTTTCATCTATCCTAGTCGCGCGGCTAGCAGCATCATAACGGTTACGACTGATGGCAACGTCAGCGGGCCAGCTTTGCTGGTGAGCCGCTCCACACACAGTCAAATACTTCATTACGTAGTCACGCATAGCTGTCGTCTAGTTTGAATTCCCTATCTAATCTCATTAGAATGCAAATAGAGAGAGGGAAACGACGACGACAGCGCTGTCTCAAATATACCGACCAAATAGGCTAGTAGTACAAATATATGATATAGATATATGGACCAACGTTACCGACGTTGAGTTTAATGATGTCACGGCCATTATAATTATTGTTATTATTATATCTAGCTTTTAGCTTTATCATTGTTCCTACATTGTGCGGCATCAGTGAGATTTAATTGAACGCATGCGGAATTCGTATTAGACAATGAGCAAGAACAAGACGATATTGATTATGTAAGCATCGGCATCAAACATTGTTGTAGCCAGTAGTCATAGAAGGTAAGACTTTAAAATGTTTCTTAGGTAGCTTGAAAGTAACTTTCTATGTTTTTGTTCTTAGACGTAATCAAAGCCTTGCCTCGGCTTAGCTTTAATTGATTTCAACTAGCAATACACGTAGTAGAAGTAGTAATATATAATGAGAATCGTAAAATACAGTCAACTGATGGTGGTTGGTAGCTTTAGCTTAGTAGCGTCTGTTCTAATGGTCTTTTTCACTCGATTTCAGATGATGATATGGTTGTTGCCATTGGCTTCTACCTTCGTGTGTGATTCTCTCGAGGCCAAACGATCTACATGCGTAAGTGGTTTGTAGTTCGCATGTGGCATTTTTGCATTATGCATGCGTTACACATGCATCTGTATGCTACTATAGAGGTTTCTGTCCGCTTCACGTCGTTGCTTCTATCATTGCTATGACGTCCTTATTTACCTAACCGATTAAAAACGAAAAGGTCCCCTTTTATTTAGGTAAGGTTTACTGGCTTCCTACCAGATAGCAAGTAAAGAATTAAATACGTGAATTAAATACGACATATAAATACCATATTGGCCATATTGAAAGTAATACGGGTTACTGAATTAGAAAGGAAGAGACGTCGGCAGAACCCGGACTTCTGTCATTTTTTAGCCGTCATCTAAGTACATCTGACGACTTCGCTTATCTAGACGGAATCGCCTTTGGCGGAATGGACATGGCAAAAGAAGAAGGTAGTCGTGAAATGTATTCCCAACCGGCGTTATCCGTCCATCACAACAAGGAGGCGCAGATATATTTCCATTTCGTCTGGATGCGAAGTAGTAATAGTGGTTACAATAGCAGTTTTCCTATCTTCACCGCCTTCTCAGATAGATGAACTACCAGCCAACCCGACAAGCAACATCGGCTTGGGCAATAAGAAATTTGTTAGTTGCGCATATTATCGGTGTTCCGAATAATATATTCAACCAATCCGAGAACAACAAACGACATCGGGTCGAACGAGCCGGCGTCTGGGGTGGAGAAATCAACAGGGTTCAGTTCAACAGTTCCGGGGTTGCGCAAGCTGTAATGGAGGTCGAAAGGCCACTCTGCGTATTCGACAACGGAAAGCTGCAAGATTGCGGCTGTGATAGCGAGAGTTGGCCATATGAAAACAGAAAAAGGAAAATTCGCTGTGACGTGATTAAAGTTTTTCGCAAAGGTTGCAGGACGCATGTGGATCGACCTGCGGATTCGCGACACACTGTAAGTGCTCGAGACATCAACACCTTCCATCGCACATGACCCAGTTCGGTACCATCAAATGGTTTCTTCGAGAGTATTTTTGGCAGAACACGAAGAAAGTCCTTCGTGAGGTGAAGCGTACTCTGCGTACGCATATGACCTTGAATAATGACAGACCTCTTAGGTTTTGCTCTTTTTTCCTTGTTCGTTTCGCAAACTTCTTTTTAGTTTATTGATGACCGCTCCGTTTGGTGGCTTCTTGGTTTTGGCGCCTGCTCTCTTCTTGGCTTCATCAATATTAGGAGCTTGAGATATTTTCCTTGGCAGAAGCATTTCCTAGCACAAGCAACGGCCAAACGGCACCCTGCCGAGGTCTTCCTATCTCCATGATGCGTTAAGGCATCTTGCTAATGACGGTCGAAGCTCTTCGACCGCCCTCTTCACACTGGACTGGTACCAGCAGCCACAATCGTAGACTATTTTTCTAATTTTTCCATCTGGCCAAATCTCCGCTTGCTTCATCTTCCTAGTGCTTGGTCCTTCATTGTTTTTTTTCCTGAAAGGATGTCAAAAAGCGAAAACACTGTCAGACCGGCATGCTACTCCATGGGATGCAATCGGAGCTAATCTGAGCCCCTCTTACGCTGACCCAAATCCACAATTCTGTGGTCACGGCAGACAGTGGCTCTCCCTTTCTACAAAACTACGAGTGCTAAAACGAATGGCATTACCTTCTCAGTCGCGCACTCCTGTTACCTACTCGAAAAATGATTACTTTGACCTGACGAACAAAGCTCGTAAGCTGCAAAACAACTGCCGATGACCAATTATGATTCAACGATAATGATTAGGTCTTTCAATATTGAATATAGGACAACAGAAGCTAATAACAATCGAGGCTTCGAGATCACATTTGCCATATTGGCGAAGCAGGCAGGACAAAAGAAGGAGTACTTGGCGCGCCATCTTAGCTTTTGTTAGCCGGTCTAATAGGTTAGGAGCAAGGCAACCTTTGTTAAACCACATCCTATGCACAGTTTTACTCTGATGTGCGTCAGAGTCGCTTACCGTTAAGTGTTCATTGGTTGTTGCGAAAAACATAAAAAAGCCGGTATCGACAAACGAGTTTCTCCTAGGTACTATGAAAATAGTGTCGATAATAATTGCTATTACTATTATTATTATTCCTGCTGGTGGGCAAGTTACTGCAATTGAGGCAGAAGGCAAGTTCCTTGCTTAATTAGTCAATATTTAGCTATTGATGGTCAAATTATTAAGGGTTGGAAATTAAAGATGACTATAAGCCAGCAGTACCATCATGTTTTCAGGCAGCCGATGCTGGCGCCGTAATCGCCGCTGACTTCCCAAGAAGCAGAACAACAGCTTGAACGACCACGAGGAGCCCCTTGGACAGAATCGTAAGCAAACATCTACTTGGTGTTAAAATTACTGTTATTATCATCATCATCATCGTTATTAGGTTAAGCCTTCTACTGTGTGTCCTATTCTATTCATAGGAGGTGTTCATGGTGGAGTTCTAGTCCGGGCTCAGTATTATACACCTTCTGACGAGACTATTAAACCTCTTTAGTTATTTGTAGAGGATCGCTCGTATTGGCCGAAAAAAAACGAAATTTATCAATATTGCTATACTCTTTGTATAAAAGTATTACGGGTATAAGACAGTTGGCGAAAGCAGGTTGTTAGCTTTAGCTGGCAGTCAAAGAACACTAGGAGATATGATTGGGGTGGACCCATGTACCTATGAATAATGATATTGGGTTCATGTTAACGAAAAGTTAAAATTATTCGCACGTAGTTACCTATGCAATAAAGCTGGTTACACCATTTAGCGGCAACTAGTTGAGCTTTACGAGGAATAAATGGGTAGCTTGTAATAAGGACATCAGATATATTCTATCTGTGTAAAGATATATAGGTTTGTATGCATAAGCACAATGAGGCAACAATGACAACGAAAGAACAAGAAAGCAGAAAATATGAAACCAACTACCCCCTCAGATACAGATTGACCATAATTCTGGCGAACTAAAACAAATGCCTTAAAGGCTATTTACTATCATAGTATCCCGTGCGAATATTAGAACACTAAACTAAACACATATTTTTTAAAACGATAAATAGAATATTTACCATGGAAACTATTGACCCGTCTACAATAGATCAACAGGCGCGTTATTTTCACAGCCTTTTTTTCGGTACTTCGAATGACGGGTAGAAGATTCGTCTTAGCACTAGCTAGTTATGGCTTCCTACATATCTAAATTTCTTCTTCTGAGCATGCAAAAATCTACTATCTGTCGACTGTATAATCTCAATGACGAATATCACGTTATGAACGCACTATGTATTGCGTATTTGTTTGGCCCACCCTTGTTCTTAAGGTAACTGTTCTTGAATCGCCTGCCACAGCTCAAGGACGCCTTGAATTTAATAAAAGGGAGAATAAAAGGGAGGTCACCGCCTATAACAGTAGCTTATACTGGCAGACAAATAGTGGACAACATCATGATAAGTAGACGAAAGTTATACTCAATGTGTATATGCAATTATAAAAAGACTATGGTTATGAGCTTTATCTTATTACGCTTCTTTTATGTAGTATTTACATTAATAATATACGTATAGAAATAAACTTTAGTCTTTTTTTATATTAGTTCGATATTTGCTACTTGTTTTAAATGAATACCAACCAGCTCGAAAAATCACTATGAATAATAAATCATTTTTAGGTAATGAAAGAGTCTCAGTTTTAAGAACTCTGATCAGTCCTAAACTTATCCTATCAGAAAGGCATACGAGGTACTTACCGCGAAGGCGTTGGTGGAACAGAATATTGACATATTTTTTTCACTTACGTACTTCTAATCCAATTTGCATACATTAATTACAACAGTCCAGGGCTTTAAAAATAGCAATTAAATTAAAAACTAGATTATTTCGATACATTTCCAATGTAAATCATACTCGCATTAATCAGTTAACGGCATCAAAGCTCTTTTTAGCTCAGCATGTCAATACGGCGCACCTCTCTGGGTCGTGGACCGTCGCCTCACGTTATCTACAATTTCTCTCACTAGGTGGCAACGCTGATCAACATGTTTCGCGGGCATATCAGATTAAATAAAATTTAAATATTTACCCGCCAAATGGCAGTGGCGAGCGGGTAAGAGTATTTGAGTAGGCGACTCGCTTAGTCTCATACATGGACCCGTGTAAAGTACGCGCTTTCTGTTCAATAGATCAGATGAAGTCACAAGTATCTTGGCACATACATTTCCACTGTTTCTGATCAAAACATTATTGATGGTTCCTACGCCTCGGTGCATTAATGCGCATTTCTGTACAACATAACATTTACAAAAGCGCTGGCCATGCTATATTTGTTATAATAACAAGATCACATTCACAGTTCTGCTGTAAAGCGACCAGGTGATAGATAAAGTCACAATTTAGTGTTTATCTGTATTATACAACTGCAATAGTAAATAGCATAATCTGTTTTCTCAAATAAATCGACCTTATTATTGCCAGTATTAACTGACAGCTTACGTCATGATTTATAATAATTTTTTAATTATGATTGATTATCACCCTGTGAGCGTTTCCGCCGGTAAAAAGTAACTAACTTCATGCTAATTGAACAAGAAACTATAGTTCAGGCAGAGTTAACACTTAGACACTGACCAGTCAAAGACAAGGGTTGTAAGCTCCGGTCAGTAACAAGTATGTACGTCGTGTATGTTCAGATATGACGACGCGATCGATTTAATTTAGATCGTCTGCATTAACCGCAATAACTTAGACTGCGTAACATAAACAGTAATGTAAGAATTCAATTTTTTATAGAACAATAACTTGAATACTGTGATTACTGTAAAACATCTTCAGATAATTTTTTTATGGGACTATCTCTGTTTGTCTAGGCCGGCGCCGGTAGCGTGGAAGAAAGCTCCCATTGAGCAGGCCTATGCTGCGAAAGCAAATCAACTATAAAACTTTGGTAATAATAACTTGAACTATTTCGATGCTGCCATTTTTATACTGTTTGTAGTCCGTGAATTGTTCGTTTTTACTTCTGCTAAAGATTATTGCCACAGTTTAGCTATATTGTGAGGCGTACAAATTTTAGGGAGAGTACTTAATATGTTTGCAGGTGACCGAAACAACGATTTATAAAATTAGTCACCCTTGACTGTTTATTATGCAAGTTATTTTTACGCGTACGTCGATATAGAATGCCACGTGTCTTTGGCAAGACGGGGGGCAGACCAAAGAGCACACAATCAACTGACCCATTGGGATGAGTTTCATTCGCAAAGGTAAGCTGTTTTATTATATCAGCTATGCAAGCAGTACAGAACACTCGAAATAGAAACAGCTAAATAACATTGAAGAAAAAGACAAGCACGGATCACTTAAGCTACTTGCTGCTGCACCCCTTTGAAATGATTCACTTTCATACCGTTTGTGATATTTAGAGTAATTGTATAAAATGTGTGAAGCCTTGGATATCTAGTTGGAATTTCGTGATGAGGCCTAGTATACTTAGTAGACTTTAACGAACTTCGTACCGTTTGGATTTGTATACTAGTCTAATTAGCAATAGACGTTGGACGTCTGATCCAAATACCTTGGAACTCTATAACTCATTCTATATATTCAATGGTTTTAGTTAACACTGATAGATAGCTGATTGCAAGATCATCTTCTGTTATCTTTTTCATGTCGACCGTGAATCTTCACGTATGTAGTTCTATTCTAAAGCACGCTCTTTTTCTACACATACTTCTGACGATATTTATAACTTTGTACACAACAAACCTAAACTACATTCGAATTCTGAAATTAAGATAATTTCAATAAAGTCAAAATAAGTCAATAAAGAATTACCCGAGTTTTTCTTTTTAACAACACAGTCCACTGTAATAGACTGAGCAAAAATGATTTATCATCATCGTTATGATAACAATAACAATTGTTCATTAAAGAAAAGTCTATTTTCCGCCCACATTTTCGTTCTCAGCATCTCTTGCCCTGTTGCTCTGTCTCAGCTCACTGTCGCTACACTCCCGTATTCGGGTAGCTTGTTGTTGTTGTTGTTGTTGTTGTTGTTGTTGTTGTTGTTGTTGTTGTTGTTGTTGTTGTTGTTGTTGTTGTTGTTGTTGTTGTTGTTGTTGTTGTTGTTGCTGCTGCTGCTGCTGTTGCTGCTGCTGCTGCTGCTGCGGCCGCCGCCGCTATTGTTGTTGTTATTAAGGATGATGTCCTCCTGCTGCCGTTGCTGCTGCTGCTGCTGCTGCTACTATTGACGTCGAAAATGTCACAACGTCCACGTAAGCAGATAATCTGTGGGTAGATTACTCTACTTATATGGGTGCCTGTCATACGATCACGTCATCGCGTTCAAGCGAATTTTCTCGTGGAGTACTTCGAGGCGTGGGCGTACGCCGACGTCACAGTTTGTTCTACGAATGATTCTTGCCAGATGCTGTTTCCTCGCCCAGTAAATTTTTAAAGGTATTTAGACTTCTTTCCAGCAGCAGGTAAACGACAACTGTTTCTTTGTTCGCCGGGATGAACGATACCGTCCGGGTTATGACAACGGAAAACATGCTTTGTGGCCGAAGACCGCGCAAATTAAAGAAATAGAGAAATGAAAAAGCAAGACAGAAGATGAAATGTTTTTCTTGAGGTTATTGCGTGTCGAGCCTAGTAGCCTGCATTGCCGGTGGCTACCTACAAAGCACGGTCCGAGCTAACCTCCTTTCGGTACGTAAACCCTCTTTCAAGAGCGTTAAGGTACGGAAAGTGAGAAAAACAAACGTGCGTAAGAACCTACAGATAAATAAATGAAGAGATGAAAATACCAAAAAGCAAATAAAGGCACTTGTGTACCAGCGCTGGTTCAGATGTGCCTACCGCTGAATTAATAATGACTGGGTCACGGATGGAGAGCATGGTGTGGAAGATTTAGTTGAAGAATAATGTCCTGCCATACATCATCCTAATAAATTGCATCGAGCGAATGATTCCTGACTTTCATTGTGGACCTGTCGAAAATTCGTCCTTATTGACCGGTAATGTTGGCATTTAAGCGCTTTTTCAGGTCGGCGAGACATTCGTTGCTAAATGTAATGTAAACTTGTTGCCCATAACGATAGCTCATCCTGGACGAACCTGATCTCTGTCGCGCCGTGCTATACTGCACATGGCAATGCTCATTCTGGCCGTATGCTTGATTTCTTCTTACTGTAACAGAGACCTAATAGCATTCATTCTTCACCTAAATTTCAACGCTGTCAGTCGGCAAAAATCGATCGTGATTGCATGAAGGGACCGCAAGAGCGCTCGGAAGGTAAGCGGCTATTGTTTGGCGCGAGATTTCCAACGTCCGTTCTCATCAGTTCGCTAAAAGCTCGGATGCAGACGCAAACGGCACCCAAGTTAAGTGAGTTAGTCGAAAGGCTGGTGCACAGTTATGTTTATCTAGAATGGCCAGTATTACAGTGAGACACGAAAAAACCAACATAAGGCCTAGCATTTGATAGCTACATTACAGGCTCTACGTTTATTTTCACTCATGGGTGGTTAGTTAAGCAAATACTAACCACCCATGTGGTTGCAACTAACTATAGATTGTTTTCTAAAAGATGAAATTGTTACATCGCATAATGTAAAATTCAATAATTTTCACGAGCACTATTGATCAATATAGTAGAAGAACTTTTTTGTTGTAAACGTGCCAGCGGTTTAGGGATGGAGCAGTTATTTTCTATTAAAATTAGTCGCTGGCTGGAACGGCTGAGCGAAATATTAGACGTGGGAAAAGATTCAAAATTTCGTATTGCCGAAAAAGTTTTAGTATCCAAAATTGGGTCACTTCAATCACGGCCAGTCATATCTAGGTGTGATCAGACTATCGACAGCGAGCTAGGTAGATACCAAAGGAATCGTTGCTTGTCCAACTGAAATTCAACGCGTTTTCATTCAGTTTGATTGTTTCGTAGGACGCACATAAAATTTCTTGCCTGATAAAAACCATTGAACTTCATTCTTATTCGTGTCTGTCACAGACGAAGCTATTATTACCTTATATTTGCCACCAGTTTGCTCCTGTCTAAAAAACTGACATGAGATTCCTAATTGTCTGTATAATCGATCGTCCATGTGTTCCAAGACCAAGATAGTCACCGGCCATCTGTGATGAGACAGCGAAATAGCGCACAACAAAGGTACACATCGCTGAAATGCCTTTATTATCCAGCGCAGGTTTCTTCATAGAAAGGAAAAAGCTAACGCAAACATAGCTACATCGTCAACTTGGCCAGATAGTTCCAATCGGTTTTCGGGTATCCGATTAAGGAACCGCGAAGGAGAAAACGCCTACGTTGAAACTGCCCCAATCTTAGCGTTCCTACATTGGCGTATGCCGAACTTCTGAGCTTCTGATAAAATGTGTTGATTTGTTTGAACAGACGCTTTTAGCACGTCTGGCTAAGTGAACATTATCTAAACGTTTCGCTAAGCGTCGTTTTCCAAGGCACTATAGTAGTCATTTTAGGGCGGAATGTTTGTACATGAATTGTTTATTATATAAGTTACTTCTGCGTAAAAATTCTATCTCGTTCAAATGTGGTATGTGTGATCGAGAAAGATGGATACGTGATCGAACGCTATTGAAGTCTCTCTGCATGTGATCGCCTTTTCCGCCCCGCATTTAATTTCGTTCCCAAAGATTTCTTTCTGTACCTTTGAAATCTTTGGGATCTTTGGGAAAACATTGATGTTTACCGAATTGCAGTTCGGCCGCTTTAAAACACTCTGTGAACTGACTGTTGCATGCCGTTAGTCAATCATCCGCACTGAGAGACGACATTTCTCAGTGGAACTCAGAGGAACTGGCGTCCCATATTGCGCGAGCGCGTAATGCGTTAGTGCCTGTTCAGGCGAGTCGCTGCGAGGGGTACATAGACGCAGCACCTTACGGCTGTATACCAGAATGGCGTGTTTCTATATAAGGTAGATGGCCGTAGACAGATAATGTGGAAGTAATTATTTCGTCAAAGGCCTCTGCCTTCAAGACGTAAAATTGGTATACTTTATAAATATGCAAATACAGTAAACTAGAAACCGCGCATGGCTAATCTGTATGTACACGCATATTCTATTCAAAAGGAACAATAGCGAAGGACCTGACTATTTTCAGATCAACTCGATCAGCTCAGTTGGCCAACATATTCAATCTGAATAGACGCCATCACTAGTAATGTATGCATGTTTGTCGAGTTTCATTTATAGAGATGTTGTGAATGGCTTTAATAAAACTGTTAACCGGTCTACAAAAACGTGTTACTCTGTTTCACACTGCAGGGCTCAGCTCGGCAGCTTGACCGGTTAAATCTTTGGCTGAGTGTTAGGGCCTGCTAGTTATTACACATACTACCACAGGACATGCAGGAAGAACAGAAACTATGATATGGGTGAGTGAAGCTCGATGACTATGATACGTGTGTTCTATGGTTCATTTAATATGCACGACAGCCTCACGCGGCATGACTGTGTTCTATTTTTCGATACATGTGCTACATTGTTACTAAAAATAAAGATCCGTTTTAGGCACAGTAGGTTGTTCCCGTGATAGACTCGTAGGCATCGTGGATACTCTTGGACTGCTAAAATTGGGTACACATGGTGGGCCAGCATGAGCTTGGTCGCACTTAGTTCCGTGGTAGTAGCTAGCCGCTTGAAGTAGAGGACCAAATGTGACATACAAAAACATTTTTTGAGGTATAGTAATATACATTAACTACAACAGGTTGGAATTCATCTAAGCTGTTAGTATTAATTAACGATCCCAAACCAATTGCTGGCCAGAGCACAGAGCGAATCCTAGACGTATTCTGCCATGAAGCGGCGGACGCTCCACTAATATATGAGACTGTCCCCTCTTTTGCACTATTTCTGAATTCAAAATAACGGCTGAGTGTTTGTTCTTTGGACATACCCACCAAGACAAAAGCCAACGCGTCCTGTCACGGGTGCCACAGTAAGAACCCCTTTATGAGTTTCCCGCGTTTTTTTCCGGATGCAACTAACTGGCCTTCCGTCAAGTTTGTACGCTACATTTGAATAGAAATTTTTGCTAAAATATACCAGTATACAGTTGCTGACCGTAATGTTTAAATGTGTTCGATGTTCCCTTGTGCTTACGTGTGTGATAGCTTATTATCGATCGGTCAAATGTAATACAATTTTTCTGTTGGTTATGATGGTAGTACCTGCGGAAAAGCATAGGTTTCCGTAACAATATGTGATAAGTAACAAATTACTGAAAACTATGTTAAAATTCACCAACATCGCGAACCAAGTCACCAAGTCGCGAACTTTATCGCGATCTTCGCGAAAACCAAGCATCAATGTTGTTTTTTAGCCCCTTCATCTAATAATGTCACTATGCCGTTAGGTAAGACTGCGCAGTAGAAATGTACGACTTACTTAATTAGCCATTTGGCTATTATATGATAAAAAAAAAAAACAGCCATTTTCGATCTACAACTATTGGTAAGCTGTTCACCTAACCACTCAACTTATGAGCACCTAGCAGTTAACTTTAAGCTAATTAGTTCGTTGCAGAAAGAAAAAAGAAATTACTAAAATTACGAGTAAATATTTTCCGCAGATTTGGGTGTACGAAGAATTGTTTAAATTACGAAACCGTATATCCTATTTTCGGTAAAAATTAACTGTATAGCATCATTTGATAGCAGCGTAAGCCCGTTGTTTTTATTGAAGCTGATATGAAATAAACGAAATTCTGTGTGTGTGCGGTATCTACCTACCATATTCTTCGTTCTAGATAAACAATTCATAATAAATCCAGTAATCGGGTGCATAGTTGCTGTTTGTGGGTACGAGATAGAAGTGACGCTTCTATATCTGTCGACGTAAGCTTTCACGCGATATACCCCACAACAGTGGCTCCTGCCAAGGCACAGGAGGGCGCGCTGCAAAGCTGATTGATTCGCGTCGTACAAAATACATAATCTAATTATACAAGTGTTTTAAGTCTCTACAATATTTATGTTCTCACCGAATATCTATGGTTAATTAAGTTAAATTAAGTTAATTAACTGAGAGTCTGTGAAAAGCAGCGTCCTTGCTAATATGATACTTGTTTTCCCATTATGACCCCGTATTTGTATATGCCTCTTTTTTACATACGTATAGTGCGCACGACGAAGAATCCGGAGAGAGGTGATCTTGGTCTTGTGGTTCAAATAAGAACGTGAGATATGTGTCTGATTCTGAGAACCGACGTAGGCTGACACACTAATGGTCATCATCGCTATTGTTTACATAATAGACCTGGCATAATGCTAGTTTTGAATAGCTCTAGATATATATAGACATAGATCTTGCGCTAGTTTGGTTAGCGACTCAGATGGTGCATGACGCACCCAGCATGAGCTTACCTATACGCGTCTATGTCCACCAATTGATGGATAAATGACTATATGCCAGAGAGAGAGCGAGAGAGAAGAAGCTGGCTGCCGCGTCTCGGTATCCTGAGATGTGCCGGCAGCGAAATCAGTTAGTAGTAATATCGGCTGACAGAGTTACTCTGTGACACCATTGTAGCTATAGCGACTTCGCAAATGTAACACTTGAATGGAATCAGGAGCGACTGCTTAGAGGAATAGAATATAAAAATTATAGGGATTAACCAAAAGTAGTCTGCATCAAGATGCATGTAAGCTATTAATAATCGACCATTCATTAGAGCGACCGCTGTTATCAGCTTTCGTATACTCTGTAGCTTCAAATAACGATTTCGCCCTCCATTGTCTCATCATGTCTTTTGATCGTTTACACATCTTACTGTTCTCTCAGCACAATCCAATTCTGGATTGATTCAATTTGGCGCTCGCTATAAAATCGAGCATTTAGTCACGTTACGAGGGTCCGTCCGAGAGAGTAAGTGGGATTAGAGTCAAAATGACAGTTAGGACAAACGCGGTAGCCGTATTTAAGACGATCTATCTAAGTCAATCAATCACCTACGGCCCGAACCAGTGCTGAAATCACAACAAACTTAGTTCCTTCCGTTTAAAATCAACATTTACGAATGCAGTATTATTTAGTGCAGTGTTCTCTAGAGCAAACATCGGCTGTAGATCTCATGCAGCAATGCAAAGAGGTTATTATTATTTTCGTTCTATGTTCTGTTGAGTCGTGCTATATAAGGACAGTTAGGACAGGAAGTGCTTACTGATTATAGCGTTTCGATAGTAATAATGCTAGTCGGTAGAAGAGTCAATCGAACGGGTGTCTAGACTAGTCATCATACCTGCAGCAAAAACCAAGGCCGCAGAGTCCTACGTACAGACGTCAGTAGCTATCATAATGCTGAATCGACGAGGGTATATATATGTACGCTTATAGCTTAGTCCACGATTCGAATCGACGTATATGTTTATAGGTTTACCATTTTACATAATATTATGCTCGACGTACTGGTGCATTGCTATCTAGTCATTAATGATGTCCATGAATATCTCTATAAATTGTGTAGCCAGACCCACACTCGGGTGTTTGGAAATCAGGCAACGCGTTACATAGATCTTTCATCTTTAAAAATTGTCATCTGGTTTCCCCTAACCATACATATGTATAGAAGCCGTACATGTGTCTACGACCGGTACCTGAGGCGTTGGGCAATGTTTGCTCACCTGGTTTCTCCTGATTTGGGTGTTTCTCGAAGATACTTATAAAGCGGCATGGTGCCAATATGCCAGGGTAAAATAGTGCCATGTTATGGCAACGCACTCAAAAAATGCGCGTTAGCCGTTAAGAATACGTCGCCTACCCATACGTTTCCTTTAAAGTATCGTATGATTAATCAACGGCCGGCTTATCGGAGCTTCCGCTTAGAGCGTAAAAAGGTTCTGAATAGCTACCAGCTGCCACTTCTCGAATAGCGAATGAACCTCAGGATAACGAAAGTGATCACAGATGTTCTGTTACTGTGGCGCAAAGCAGCTGAGACATTTAGACATAAGGTGTAATAGCTATGGTCGTAAGTGAAGATTAATAGACCTCGATAGAAGTCCCACCGAGCGATTCCTACTCAGTTAGAAACGGTTAAAATAGCAAAATTCTTAGTAAATTTCTACAATTAAGTTCCGGAACTAATTTGAAGAAGAAAAAAAAATGCTGGTAGCTTCTGCTTAAAATATGGCGGGAATAGCTTTAAGAGAGAACAACGAGGATTCGTATCGTTGAGGCATGACGTTACATAGAGACGTTGGCATAATATTAATGCACCTGAACGAAACACGATGCCCTTTAAATAATAAGTTAAGGTAATGAAGCATTGAATTTAAGAACATGTTCGTCATACAATAGGTCGGTTTATTTTATACAGTTCGAAGGCGAAACTGTATTGGATGCCGTAACGAAAATGTATGGCGATTCAATAAGGTATCGAAGTGAATTCTTCTTCTGATGTTCGATTCAGAGCATTTTCGTCCGGGTTCTACTTTAAAAATTGTACGGAAGTTCAAATCTGCTTTAAACAAGGTTTCTCCCTGTTCAAAAAGGCCCGCTTACCCCTCCCTCTCATTCAATCAAAGCCGCGTTCTTTGGAAACTTTTTAACATGCCACACACGTAAAATGAGTACAACTTGTAATTCCCTAAAAAATCGGCATTAACTTTTCATAACGGCTATTTCAAATTAGTAAGATGAGATTATAACTAAAAAGAATGATAGTTGTCTCAAAAATGTGATATTCACATAAAACAAATATGTGTAGAAATAACTTGGATAAATCAAGCTACTTTTTATGAAGTAGTTAAGTAAATTAGATAGCCTACATGAATTTACTGACGTTTTTACAAAATTGGAACAGAGTAAAATAGTTCGAGAGGTTATTAGAAACCATAATTGCATCTACACCAGTGCCTCTATGTGTTTCTGACTAGAATCAAAAAACAAGCCACAAAATCGTTCGAACAGTATTATATTTACAACAACACAATTTATTAGTGTTTATCTGTTATTTTCGCTTATTTAATTTGACCTCAACGATAGTAATAGTAGGAGTCACTCGCTCATCCTTTTTTACATAGTCTCTATTTAAAATTCCAATCAATTCATAAGCATGGCTCAGTAACACTCATGTATATGGGTAAACCCGTAAAATGGTTTTTGCTGGTTGAATCATACGTTTCTAATTCATTCATTTACAATCCTATAAATTATGCCAGACCCCATCAAATCGTGCTGCATTCCATTCGTACGTCGAACCTGGCCTACTCTACAGGCTGCCAGATTCTGCACGAGTCTATCTATAAGTTTCAATTTGTCGTGTGTGAGAGAGTTTCCATTTCCTAGTAGTTACGAGCGCAAATAATTTTCAGCTTGCTGGAACACCGGCGGCAGCAGGAAATCCGGACATAAGCCAGAGGTAGCATTTTTTTGTGTTTTCAGGCCTAGGCCTGGTATGCATTATTACTTTTTGCCAATTTTACTACAGCTACTAGTACTAGTGCTATTTTCATTATTGTCATTATCGATTACTGTTGCAAAAACAGAGATAAAGGAAGCAATGTTGCAAGCGTGGGTGGTTTGATCCGTTATTCAGTTCGATCTCTCGATCATTTCCATTCGTCATCATGAAAGCATCAGCCGGGCACGGTCATGCCATGCCAGTGCTGCATCCGGGGCCCCGTTGCGTATGGGACCCCATCGCACTCAGCTTGCTTGGCTACCTGTATGAAGATCTGTAAAAGCCAGAAAGGCAAAACGAAAACGCAGCGATAACATTCAGGACAGCGTCGGGGAAAGTAATCAAAGAAATGGGCGAAAAATTAATTTGCGCTTTACACTGTTTCTTACCGATATATCTATGGTGATACTCAGATATGTTTTACCACCTCGTCCTTCCGTTAATAGTAGCCAGTAAAATGAAAACATACATATTTTCCTTTTTATCGGGCCGAGTAAGTCTTCCAAACCTTCTCTTCAATGTGTTGTCCTTAGTTGTATCAGGAAGAAATACACTTGTCCTACGTTGCTTACTTAAGTTGATTGTGAGGCCCTAGTGGACGCGCACATGTGAAAGGAGAAACGCCAGTTGGCAGGTGTTTTTGCTAAGCCTTGCTTTTTCCCAGTGCTCTTTCCGTTGGCTACTTTAATCAACGAAATAATTTCATGTTTATTCGTTAACCTAACATTACATATCAACATTCTGTATACAGTTCTTTGACAGTCAGCTTATATCAACTGAGCTGTTCTCGGTTTCGTAGCGGTTTTCTTCGCGTTTTATATTAAAAGTACGTTTCTTGTTACTCTGCATTAGAGCAATGTCTGGTTTCGAAGCACGCTGACTATAGGACCTTTTTCTATATAACAATGATAACAGTGAAAGCTATAGTGAGCCGAAACTCTGAACTGTCACGGTTAACCTCATTTTCCTGCAATGAATGATTATTTGATTAACGTTCAGACCATGCGCTCGTTCATACCTGCGCATTTTGGCGGACCCACTCGACGCTGTCGTCTTCCAGCTCCTCTGCTCAACGTTTCTCTTGTCTACTCTTGCATTTGCCATTCGTAGCCTCTCCGTTGCTCCTTATCGGGGCTTGTCTACCTTTCTGTTCCTGTCTATTTCTATCCAAGCTTTTGCATACACATATTCACCTGATCATTATGATTCATATCGTGTATGATGACGTCCACTTGGCCGCGGTAAGGTCAGACACAACCTAATTAAGCGTCAAGTGAGTGGCAAAAATGACGGAGAAATTGTAGAGAGAAAAGTCGGTTAGAAAAGAAAGGGATCAATTTAGGTGGGCTGGGGACAGAGGTTATACAATGTAGAATCCACAGAAGCACCGCTAATCCAGCATCGAATTTAAAGGTTGTCCAGACACCCTCGAATAATTAGTTGGCGAGGTAGATGTCAAGCACAGCCACTGCGACAACGAAAGGCAGACGCTGATATCAGTAGTAAAATGACAGCAAAAAGCAACTTTTTTTCAACCTGTTTTTCTTCTACGATTTAGAGGAATTATACGAGCAGTAGAGTAACTGGTGATACCAGCAAGTGTTTGAAAAATGAAGCTCGTTTGTCTCTTGCTCTTTGCTTCCGCTGGCATATTCCCGTTTGTTCTATCATTTAGCCCGTCGTTTAGGCAGTCTATAACGATAACAGCCTAATATCTAAGGTCTTCTCTTTGCTGGTGTGCGGTCTTCGACCTCGGCTTGATACATGTCGTCGAACGTTGAGGCTGTTGTTGCGTTTACTGCCATCGTTGTTTGTAAAAGCTGTTCTTTTGACGTCAATGGCGCTGCAAGCACGTTCCACAATATACAACAATGCATAAGGTATCCATGCGGCCAGATGTGACTAAGGATGAAGGTTTTTGTCGATAATTTAGGTTTTGTTATTTTCCGTAAGCTCTTCCAAAATCGGCTTAAGGTGAGGCATATATACGCACATATGTGGTATTGCGTCTTGATTTGCCTGGCAGTTTTGGCATCGAAATATTTTTAATTTCTCAGGGATGGGGACTGGCTACGAAAGGAAAAACGCGAAACAGGGATTTGCGGTAGATGCAATGCATCGTCAACGCTTCAACAAAACAACGACTTTTCACATTTCTCTCTTACTCGCTGCGTTAGTGTGCCATTGTCATCGAAACTAATAGGTCGCCACTCCTGAAGCATTCGTGCGTCACCTTCACGCCCTGCTCTTTACGCGTTTACGGTGTTGTTGTTGAATTCACACGGCCGCCGTTCGATTGACGAATCGACTGCAGGGACTGCAAGCAGGCACATGACGCGAGGCGAAAGTGGCGGCGTCATCTCCACCTCATTTGTGTTATCATCGGCCTCACCATCCTGTGGTGGGGCCACCTCCTCACAGATGATCATGGGCACCTTGACAGAGATACGTAGAATCTCCATGCCCAGATCTGCCGGCTCCAGCGTCGTGCTGTCCTGACTTTGAAGCTTCATTTTTGTTCACTTACTCGGCTGTTGCAAAGAACTACTTCGGACAACTAGCCAGCTGTTATCGTTCGGATATTTAAAAGTTTTTTCCTCTGTTCTGGTCGGAGACACTGCTAATACAGTTGACGCTTTCAGCCCTAACTGTTCAGACTGACTCAATCCGTTGGTGTTCCCTGGGACTATACGAGCTGTTGCTGCATTGAATAATGTATGTGTTACTTCCAAATGTAACACACTACAAACGCACTATTTTTGTCTTGACACTCGAATACTATCTGTCACTGTTGGTAACCGGCTAACTGGCAAGCTACCGTTATCTGTGAGCTGGACTAGCACCAGCTTACAAGCTCGATTCAGATGTCAAGTTGAAGACGACAGCGGCTTACCGCAGCAGCAGCAGCAGCAGATGCTAGTGATCCGCGTGAGACTCGCGACGCTCGTCGTCTGGCGTCCAGGCGAGTCCTGGAAAGGGTAGACGCTAGCGTTCGGTAAGGAGGTGATTCTAACGTTGTAGCGAGGAGGCCGCTGTAGGAACGCCGTCGACAGCGATAGCAGTAAAGGTGCCGTTCGACAACAACGATGTCCTGTGGTCTGTTGGGTGGCAGCTGCTTATCTGTCGGTTTACGAAGAGTCAGTAGTTAATTGCAATCGGCACCGAGACGGAACAAGAAGGTTGACTTACAAAGCACCTTTCAGTGATGGCGCTGCTTCTGGTACTTTTGCTAATGACCCGCTCGTCAACACGGCCGAACTAAGCGTCGAACGCGTCAGAGCAGCTAGTAATACAGGAACAGCTAAGCAGTCGCTGGTTGAAGACTGTGGCTAGCGGCAATAGACGATATAATGATCGCCCAAGGTAATGGCAAAACCCGACTTGAATAGTTGAGCAGCGTGTAATTGCCACTGGTATTAATAACGGCTGTAGCTGCAACGGACAACAATTGCACTTCTTATAATTTTGCAGTAGGGACCGGTGGGAGGACAACGATTCTTGAAATCTGTGACGCAGATCACGATAAATGCGCGTCCATTGCTGGAACGTGACCCACATTAACTCGAGGAAAAGACCAGAATGAATGCAAAGTTCACTGGTCCTTGTTACGTGCGTGTCCACGTTGAGAACGCAGTGCACACTAAATTATTTAAAAGAGTATCGCAAAAATTTCTGTTTATGGCTTTCTCTTCCGCTCAGTGACAAATAGATCCCAGTTGCTACCGTATTTCTATTACGTCGACTGACATATGATCTTCAGTTGGAAATTTCTGATCTACCAAATTTCACCAGCGGCTAATATAACGGCAATATCCTGGAAGTCGCGTAGTCGGTATTTGTTGAACGATTTAAGATGAGAATGCACCAACGAATGCTGGGGTCCTAGTTCTCCATGTCGATGGCGCTCCAGCTCACCGTCGGTGCTCCGCATCAACTCCGTAAGCTGCTCTGCTGTTGTGGCGTTACTGATGCGATGATTATAATTGTGGCAGTAAACGGAATCGATAGAGTCGTTTCTTTGCTGCTGGTTACTGCGCGTTTCCGAGCGCCCAGCGATGCCGTGGTCCGGGAGCACCCAGCCGAGCAGCTGGCCAATCTTTTCGCTAGGAGTCCACATCAAACACAAATCCAATTTAAAGCATCTGGCTGGCACAACCCCATAGAAAATGCAGGTGAACGATTTGCCTATTTCGAACGTTTGGTACGAACGCTATGTACTTTAATTATGTACCCCGTAAGCAACAAAAAAAACGCACACGGTGTCACTGTTTTCAAAATTCACTAAGTAGTTCACTGTATCTCAGTGGCCAATCCCCTTCTCTTTACCTTAAAGCGTCGATTAACTCTCGCGGAACAGTGCAATGCTGGTAGACATCGAGGCCGCCTCCGCACTGATTCGTACATAACGTGCCTTATTGCGCTCGTTTGTCGTCGTGTACAATGTTGTGGCGAACAAGTAAATCTACTTTAGGGCTGTTGCAACAACAAAAAATTACAGGTTCAGATAACAGGATGGGTTGTTGATGAGTTACGGGTGAGAAATGTCTTAACCGACTGATCGTTGATACAATCTTAATTCTTTGTTCAGTGACTTGACGAGTGTTCTTCACTAGATATAACCTTCTAGTTGCCTGCTGGGTGCACTCGCATATGATTGGTATTACAGATTTGACAATCAGTTTCTATTTCATCATTGTTGATTTACCCGCTGGTACGTAATTTTAACCAAACAACGAATGAACGATTTGACACGACGCGTATAGGGGCCAAAGACCGCAGCGTCGATCTAGTGCTGTCTGCTGGGGTTCGTAAGTCTCCTTTTATCTAACTGCTTTCTTATATCTTGTATAGCCACGGGCTTTGCGGGCACCTCGCACCGAAGCTAGTTGGCTGGCAACATCGTCTTTCTTTTCTGCTGCTGTTATTACCGCTGCTAATGTTCCGGCCTCTGCTGCTCCGATTTTTGGTTATGGTAGTCATACTCCACTGAGCCAAGGCGCTGTCTGCGCTTTTTGCGCAGGCGCAGCTTGCTTCACTCGCTCCACACCCCTCAGTTACCCCTCTGTGCGCCCTGGCGGCTATAGCGTCTAACGTCGAGCGCTCGGCCCCGATAAAAATCCCTTTCCTCACGAGGTTCCTCTCACTCTCGACTACCCCCAGGTGGGGTACCCACGCAAGCAATATAAAGTAACCTAGATTAGTTAGCTAGGCAAACTAGATAACGTAGTCTAACTAGAAAACGACGGAGCTGGGAGTGTTTCGAGGGGGTGTCTCCTGATCAATGACAGTGGCTAAAGAGAGCGGACGTCGTACGGTATGATGTACTCGGTCGGAGCGCAATCTACCTTTGGTTATTTACATAATACATAAAGTGTATAAACTATCATAGTAGATAATGATAGATAGATAGATGTTCGATGATATATAACCTACTCAGCATTTTCGACTCTAATCTCAGGGGAACGATCAGACGAAGCTGACATGTGAGAATGGAGAGTTGAAATCTAGTAGCTGATTTTAGCTTAATTGACGAAATTAGTGTGGTCAACGATTTTTTTCGTTAGTTAATCGTTGCATCGTAGGCGGGCTTAAATATTGTGAAAAAAAGTGTAGGCCGTGCTTGATTATTGCTGCTTGTATCTGCTAAGACGGAAAATTTGTTCTGACTTTAGGGGACGGAAAGTCTTATTCATACTCAAACAAATTCGCGGTACGCTTCCAGGTAAAAAAGCTTAGATTTTAAATTAATAGGGATGTTGAGTGATTTTTGCTTCTTGGGCCCGTCAATCACATGAGTAGGACAGCCACGATGTGTTTGCTACGCAAAGGGAAATTGCACTATAATTTTTATTCTACATTGGAGAATGAATATGTCTTTACTGAAGTTTCACCACAATTTGTTCTAAAATATTTCTGACGATGTCGCAAACTATTTGTCTGAGATACCGCAGCAAGAAGTCCTCAAGCGTAAAATCATAGTTATTAGGCAATTTACCGGAAAAAAAAACACTAAAGAATATGCCCGACTAATATCTGTAAACATAGTCTTTAATGTTGTCACGTTTCCAAGGGCAATATTTTTACATGTCAACTATTTGTGTATTTTATATCGTTTGTTGTCATATTATTTCTAAATTATACCTACCTAAAAGTGTACCTACTTGGTAATATTACATAAGGTGGCTGATCGATGCACGACAAGCATACAATTTGGTCGTATATTATCGAAAGTAGAAAATAGAGAAGAGTATTTACTGTTTGCTCTGCGTTTGGAGACACATTTAATGCTTTGATTGACTAAAGACTGGCTTGGCTTCTACCTAATTTTCCATTGCGTGCATTGATCCACACACCGTACAGCAATAAATAAATAATAATAAAAAAAAAAGTTGTACAGAATTCGCTGGTCATTTTTGTTGTCCTCTAATAATTCAATAATACTATTTTTTCTCTTACAGTTTTTTTAGCGTGTCTTTGTGATACATTCGGTAGTAAAGCTCAGTCCTTTGGTAAGCGAATTTGAGATTAATATACAGATGTTCATCGGCACACTTAATTTTTTTTTGTCAATATTTGTTATTTTTGCACATTGCACATGTATATACATGTGTTTTTTGTTTACTAATTGACTTACTAGTCGGTAATATGCAATCGTACCACGTTATACGGTGTGTGGTACGATGGAACGTGGTACGATTGCACATTACCGACTACTGAGTCAATTAGTAAACAAAAAAAACCTACCGAATATATCACAAAGACACGCTAAAAAAACTAAGTGAGAAAAAATAGTGTTGAATTATTAGAGGACAACGAAAATGGCCAGCGAATTCTGTACAACTTTTTTTTTATTATTATTTATTTTTTGTATATTATACCAAGTTGTATAGAAGTGAAGATTGATTTGTTTTTGTAGATCTCCTAGAGTTGCAGGATGTGTTTGTCATCGTGGAAGGTAGTGCAGATAAGATCTGAGTTTTGGAAAGAAATCGCACATTAATAGCTTCTAACTCACTTGCAATGAAATTCAATGAAAAAGATTCAATTTCTGGGAAAAATAGTCGCCAGCCTGACTTTAGCCTAATCTAAAGCAATAAATAGTGCGAAAAATCAGTTAAAGTTTCCTCATTTTGCTTTACGTTGTGGTTCGTTTCAACACCGTTAGCTCTTCACAACTGGAACTGGAAACATACACTTCTATTTAAAGGCTACTGAACCCACGCAATGGCTTTCTACTGGAGCTGGACATTATTAAAGCTTTTATCTGCTCTGCATACGCACTCGGGCATTTTTTCGATATCTCATACAGAAGTGTGGGTAGATATATAACCTGATCTAGTTTTGTCGTTGGCTAGCAGGAACAAGCATCGTACAGCTACTCGTTCTGCGCCATCGACACGTATATAAACGATAACACAACTCGGCCACGCTTATTTGGTAAAACTAATTCGTTTTGACTTCAAGCTGCACTATTTCGACCTCCTCGTGATCTCGTCTTACGTCGTGTCGGACCGGATTCCACGGTTTCCAAAGCCGACTAACAGATCGCACAATCTTGGACTTTCGTCCGGACTGAGGATGTCTTGCGCGAGATCGCGGCATTGTCCTGACCTACATCCTGTTGTCATAGTAACACACGCAGTGATCATGACAGTTTCCCCTGCTCAATATGATTTATGCCAGCGGCGGATTCGTAGACTTATTGCCTATGAAGTGGGGAAAGACGTACGTAGACATCTTTTCCTGGCGAGCTGGCACGCGGCGCACCTGCGTACGTATACGCTTGTCTTAGCCCAAATTCCTTTGTCCGGAAAATAGTGTGCCATCAGACGACGAACAGTTTTCTTTGTAATTAGATGACCCTTATGATAGTTAAGAATACCAAGCCACCGGTTGCCCGCTGAAGTATGGGTCGCGATTTCTTTGGGCCAGAGTGACAGAGGAAACCTTACCTGGCTAAAGAGCCGTGTACTTTCTGACTCCTTCGCGGTACAGCGACCATCGCTGCCCACACTGATTGATGGGTCCGGTATCGATGTAGGATATCGAGCTGGAGCGAGCCCGAGGTCCGAGCTATGATCCCACCGTCGAGCCGGATAGTACTCATATAACGCGAGTGCAGCACATTTTGCTGTTCGATTTAAGACTTGAGCGAGGTTTGATTTCATATACTGAGTACGTTCGGGCTGCATGAGACTATCTGTCAACGGAGTCTGGCACCTATTGGCGGGAGCGAACTATGCTAGTTTCGCGTTCATTATATGAGCATTATTCGACTAGACGACAAAACTATGGCTCGGATTTTTGGCCGTTTCGGCGTCGATACCACCCTTGCGACACATCAACTGACGAGCTATCGGTGAGATCGCTCTACCCCGAGAAAGTTGGAAAGCGTATGGCTATTTAGCCGGGCAAAGTTTCCTCTATCACCCTAGCCGACTCGTACTTCTATCAGCCACTGAGATCGCGCGATTTTCTAAACGTGATAGGAATTATCTAAGCGAACAATTAGTAAAATATTGCATTTATCGAAAATATCGACTATTAGTGGATTACTATAGCGGTTAATGCGAAAAATTTTACTTCGGATTAATAACGACGTTAAACTGAATAAATTACTATGCTTAACTAAAGACTGAAGAGCCGACTATTGTAGTGAAGTCACACCTTTACGTATGTTGTTGTCCGCAGCAACTACATTATGGGTCGCTAATTTTATAGTGACTACTGTTTTGTGATTAGCCCGTATTCGAATTGAAGACTCGTAGAATAATGCACCCAGCCAAAGTTACATCGGCCTGGACTGTAAGGCAACGGTAGAACGGAAGTAACGCTGCAAACGTAAAAGTGCCTTCTAGTTAGAGGCCACCGATACTCAACCGGATAAGTACGTGTCTTTGAAGTGAACAAGGTCCCTTATGGGCTGGACAACTATCTTTATTAAACTCACACTGAGATAGGCCAAACTAGAAGGGGCAATTCGCCCATAGACAAGAGTGAAATATACACCTTCGTCCAATTTACCTCCGTTCTCGACGCACCACAGACACACCCGACGTGTGCTCTTGCCAATCTGCGAACGTTTCAATCTAATGCATCATATCGTATTATAGATGAAAAACAGAGAAATAAATGCAATTCGTTGCGTCGGTATAACTCATGAACCGATCAGATATTGTAGCGTGTCCCATTCAACACTACATTTATATATTCCATTGTGCAGACGCCGGCGATACGTCCCTATGTGCTATTGAAATCTTCCGGTAGAGCACCTTATAACTAGTATAATTTCCCATCACCGCCTAAACTTTTTTTTTTTTAATTTCTAATTATAATTTTGAGCTTCAACATATGTACGAACAAATATCGAGGAGGATACTTGAATTTCGTTCATGCATGTGACAAAAAGACAACTATAGAATCATTATATGCGAACTTCAATGTGTACAGTACACGGTAATCGGCAATAATAATATTTCCTCGCATCTATGTCAAATAAAATGAGCACATGGTGTATACCAATGGGCTTGACAAATGTTACCACCTAGTGCCATTCTGATTTTCTGCTAAAGAAAGAGTAAATCAGAATCAGGTTCAAGGACACAGCTCATAACTATCGTGGAAGCATTTCCTACATTCTCCGAGAGGTGTTGGCCTTAGGTTCGCTACGAAGGCCGTAGCAACGATGAAATAAGATTTTTGCACTTGCCAAATTGCTTTAACTAAAACCCGCGATCTACGTAAGTTAATTTCTACTGTACCGTACCTGATGATAGCAGTTTGTGTGTCCCCTGTTGTGTATCCACATACGTCTATTCGGCATGGAAGTACAGCGCGTCGAAGGCCGACTCGAAACTGGAGTTGAGAGGCCAGTTTAGGTTGACACGAGCCAGGCTCAGGCGTTATCCATCTGCTTCAACAAAAATTAACTTGATTTGTTATGATGACGAGTGCAAAATG